GAGGGGGTGGTGGTAGGTGTCAAGTGCTTCCCATTGGAAACCTTTCAAGTTTCCAGGATCCTTAAATTTCTTTCTGTCAGAATTCCATTTTTTTTGCTTTGTTTTTTGTTCCTGCTACACTTTGCTATGAAGGAGGAAGAAGGAAATATCCCAGTTAGAGATGTGCACATTTCAAAAAGGCTTCGAAGGTGGCTTTAAAACCTGAGCATCCACCACGGCACCTTTGTGCCATTCAAGTGTACGAGACATTTTCAAGGCTCTACCCCAGCCTCCCCTCCCTGAAAAAAAAAGAAGAGAAAAGCTGCTGTTGTTGCCTTAAGAGGCAAAGTCAATGATTAATGTGACTCTTAATTAATAATGGTAATTATTTGATTAGTTAAAACAGCAGTAGCAGCTTTTGAGCACAGGATTTACCTTTGAAGTACACACAGCTCTAAACTCAATTCCATCTCTGGCGTGTCCCCTCTCAGAAAAACAGCCTCCCTCTGTAGCCTGTTCAGACAGGCAAGACTTTGGCCCAGGCTTCTTCTAGTTCCGTGGTCATTCTTCTCTCCAGAATCTCTTCCGGTTGGATCTCAGAGACAATTGACACAGGGCAATGTACAAACTTCTTTATTTTATTATTTTTCTTCAAAGACTAGGTAGAGCAGAATGGTCACCATAGGGTGGATGGATGGAGCCCTTCAAGTCTTCCCTGCCCCTTCTGCCTGCATCTTTCACCCCACACACAGACCGGGAAAGGAGCGTAACCAGCTCTCTGCCAGCACCCAGGTTAAACAAAACAGATTAAAGTCAGAAATCATGTAACCCTTTGGCTCAGATTCAGCTACACAGTTTGCCTGTCAGCCCACGGCAGCAATAACCTGAAGGGCCCGCAGGGAGCTGTGTTTGCACTGAATTGCCCATATAAACTCATTTGTCCCATCATTGGGATAGATGCCCTTGGTGGTTGCAGGTGGGATGAGGACTAGCCAATTAGCCACAATGATTCTAGAAAGCAGATGGCACAAGCAAGGCAGAATGGTTCATACAACCCCTTGGCTTAGCACGTGGGCAGTCAACTTCCTCAACAGATTAGTGAGAGGAAAGTAGAGAAGAGCAACTCCATGCATATGACAACTAGCTCTTGGGCACCAGCCAAAGAGGGGACAGGATGCATTGGAAGGCTGGAGTCAATTACTCTGTGACAATAGTGAATTCCCAAAGGATGTCCTATTCTGGAAGCCATTTGAAAAAAAAATAGCCCATATTTTAACTGATTCTTGGAAAACAGATTCAGACATTTCTCCTGGTTTCATGGCAAGACATACTTGTTCTCCAAGGTATAGTACATAGACAGATACACCCACTGGTTTGTCTTGTGCTCTCACATATTCATGCGCTTGGAGAAAATGCAAAAAACATTCAACATGCCTTCTTACCATGTTATGCTATTCTCTCTCATTCACCTTTCACCCATGAATGCTTACAAATGGTCATTCTCTGACATATAAACATTCATTAATAGCAAGGACAAGCAAATGCATCAGGGTGAGTGATATATGTGTACTTCCCATTGTAGGCAAGCCTTCTGTGCAAGTTCTTTGGCCATGAAAAATGGTGGAACCAAAAGGAGTGTAATCCTCAGCCTCAGTCAAATTGGTCAATCTGAGCAAAGTGGATCCATGACACAGGATACACCGCTTCTGAACGTATACATGCCATTTGTCTGTATGTCCAAAAGGGACTTCAACACAATGACACTGCTTTTATCATTTTGGCAAAAGTAGCTGGAGTCTCCAGATACCCATGGTCTGGAGACCTAGAAGGATATCTTAACTTTTATATGTGGGATAAGGTAGAATTCTTCAAATATGGTGAGATTTAACTTGAAAATTCAGGGAAATGAATCCCAACACAATTGCAGGACATCAAGTTGGGAAAAGCTGGTTGAGGGAGACTGATCAAAAGTCATCACTGAACTTGCTTTGCCTTTTACCTCTTGTTCTTTTCTTTCCATTCTTCCTCTTACTCACTCATTCTCACGTCACATGCATACATACAATACATATACTCTCTGTGTTCAAGTTGGAAGCTGATCCAGCTCCATTAAGTAAGATTTGAAGCAGAATATTACGGTTTTTCCTGGCTACCTCAATGACCTGGAAACTGCAACCCGCAGCTCTTCCCACTGACATGATAATACTATCAGAGGTCTGAGGTCAAAGATCACAGGGAATCAAAATGGTTCTTCCCCAGCAGGGAAGAGGATGCTGAAATGAGGAGGAGCTGCAGCACAAATACATCTCCTGTGGTTTCAGGGCTTCTGCTCCTATCCTGGTAGCAGAGGAAGAGGCTTAGATTCCTGATTTGTATATTTTTTGTGTGAATTGGGGCTAGAATGGCCTATTGACATTCGCACATATTGAAGTTTAAGTTTCATTTTGCCTACTTTCTGTGGGCATTGCTATTTCATGTCCCTCCAGTATTCTAAGAGATGAGGGTGGTTTTTTTTTGCCTCTTGTTCTTGCCCAGAATGGAGTTCTCAGATTGGTGGAGTCCAGAGACTTACTGGTACTTACTTCTCTCTGCCTAAATACTAAACAATGGGTATAGTGGTAATTTTGTCAACTGAGAGCAACAGCGTCACCATAGTGTGGGAAGCTGGCTTCAGCATCAGCCCTTTGCCCCATGTGAAAAGTGGATTTATTGCAATTTTCAACATTCATCCAGGAGGATTATGTAGACAATAAACAGCTTGTGTTCCCCTGGCAAAGTCCTGCCATTTTGGCACAGAGTTTACTTGCCCAGCAACCAGCATGAAACTTTGCAGGACACTCACATTCACACTCTTTTGTCCTATGGGATGACTGCAGACAAGCTCACATTATATTGACAACAATATGACAACAGGTGCTAATGAGCTGTCCCCTTACCACCTCCAACCTGGTCCCCTTTTCATTTTGCCTGAGGACCTTTTCTTCCCAGCTCCATGGGGCTGTATGATGACCATCTAATGAGTGACTAGCAGAGACAATTAGACAGATAACAAGTGTTGGGGTGATTTACCCTGTTACAGAGATACCTATGCAAAACATGTTGGGCGGCCAGAGACAAAGACAAGCAGGCAAGGGGGTAAGAGTGGTCCCTGACCCCAGGACGCTCCTTTATACAGCATGACAGAGCGCAGCCTGCAGAGTTTTTAGCGTTGATAGTATTGCAGTCTAACTGATATGGCTTTAACTATTAAGGAAGAAAGGAAGGATAGAAAGAAAGAATGGTAGATTTTGGATGCAGGGAGATAACTCCCAAACTCAAACCCCAAACAAAAGTAGAAGGGACAGAGTACCAGGAAAATTTACCAAATAATCCAGGCCTTCCTTCTTCCCAAATAAACACAGGAATGAAAACTACAGAACTTCCCCATAGAAGGATGGATGTTTGATTTTGTTTTCAGCAGTGGCCAAGAACTGTTGGTACTGGGGAGAGGGCACCAGGCCAAATCAGCAATGAGGCTTCCTCCTTGTCTCATAGTCACCCCTTTTTGTGTAATGTTGTGGCTTTGAAGAAACAATGGGGAGAATTGGCCACGGAGTGAATGCAACAACTGTGCAGTGAAGGGGAACTACTGGCGTATGCTGGAGTGTGGGTAGGATGCCCACCACACTCCCAGGCCACATTGAGTTGCAGTTATTGAAAAGTGGGAAGGTTTTCTCATAGACCATGAAGGACCCACCCTTTGGAATCAGCATGTGCGTCTGGGTATGCATGGCTGTAGTCTAGTTTCTAGACACTTTAGTTAAAGAGGAAAAAGAAACAATTTCTACCTTGGGTGCAAGAACAGTTCTGCTAATATTTGTGTGGGCCATTATGTTTCCATTGGGAAAGAGATTATCAGCATCCTAGGATCAAGATAAGACAGGGATGGGTTTACTGGCTTTAACATAGACCCTCTGGTCTACTAGACAACTGAAACTCCCTGGCTCGAGAGGCTGCGCTGCTCTCTCTATAAGTGTTAGTGAGGGGCATTCTACAACCTCCTAAAGAAAGCAGGGATCCTCAGTCGAATGCACGAACGCATCCCATTCCCTCGAGTGTCTTCATTTTGGTCAGTTGATCTCTAAACCGATCTCCACATTCATTGCTTTCTGCAGCATGGGAAGGAGAGTGTGATTTCGTGCTTTGTCTTTTTACTCTGCAAAAGTCTGCAAATGTGTCAGCTAGAGAACTTTTTTGAATGAAATACTACTACTGGATGATGGAAGGGGAAAATCACCTATCTCTCAGCGCCCCCTAAGCAGCCCAGGTAATTTTTTTTCTACTAGTAACTCACAATGCTTTGCAGTGGGCCTCCATGCTAGGCTTGTGGTAGAGGAGTTTGATTCTTTTTTTAGGAATGAGCTCTTCCTTCCCAAGCATATGACAAGACTATGATTTGCCAACAGCCCTAAAGTGAGGATTGGGATTAGTGTGTGTGTGTGTGTGTGTGTGTGTGTGTGTGTGTGTGTCTGTATCCAACTGGTCCTTCTCTTGGTCAGAGATGGAATGTGCAGAGGCTACCTTGGCCCCCATGAATTAGGCAGGAACAGCAGAACAGAGATTAACAGGCCACAATCTCTGTTTGGCAGTCAGCACAGGGTTAAGGAATATGGGGGAAGGAGGCAGGCTCAGAGGATTGTGCAGGGCCCTGGCCTCCTTCTGGTGCCTCCTCCTCCAAAACCCCATGAGGTCGTGTAATTGAATTTTGGTCCCAGTTCCCATTTATTTTTGCTTTGCTTTGACTTTCTAGTCAGCTGGCCCTTTGGCACCACAGAACTCCACTCCAGCTCTGTGTTGGGAAGGGAAAGCCCAGGTGAGGGGAAGGAGATAAAACTCCTGGCAGTGCCCAGCCTGTGGCTCCAAGGAATCCAGCAGCCTAGAGTGATGATAGCAAGGGGGCAGGGTAGGGAGTACGTCCCGTGCCTGATGTGCTTCTCTTGGGGACCGAGAAGAAGGCCTGGGAAAGGCCTGTGGCACAAAGACATGTGTGAAGTCTCCCCTTGAAACAAAAACTGGAAAGGAAAATGCCCCGTGAAACCCCAAAAGAAAGTCCCTTCACCACCCAAAAGCCTCAATCGAGTGTTGAATTGGCAACACCAGGAAACTCTGGGTGGAACTTGGGCTGGTATGGCGGCTACTTCTTGAACATGTCCTGCAATGGACCTGGCAGATACTTGAGCACCGTATCCAGAATGCTCTCCTCATCCTCATCTTCATCATCTCCACAGCCGGCTGGGATGGCTTTCTTGGGTCGTGTCAGGCTCCCCTCACAGGGCTGTTCCAGGGCTGCCTTCTCCTCTGCCTCTTTCTCCTCTTTCTTCTTCAGGCCATACTATGTGGGGAGACACACAAGATTTCTCAGAGAAATGCAGGAGAAGGTAGATCCTGACTGCAACACCTTTGGGCCTTGGGTCATAGGTGTCCTAAATTAAGATTGCGTTAACTTAATCACTGAGGCTTCTGAAGATTAACCAGCTGCTCTAGTAAATGACATCAGCTGCTTCCATAGCGATACAGTCTGTTCTTAGGGTTACAATCTGGAACATGAACGCTGTACAGAAAAGACCTTTAAATTTTACTGATAATTGTGAGACAAAAACTGTACCTTCTGCTGCCTTTATGTATTTCCCTTACTGTCTAAGCTAAAACAGACTCTAGATGGTACTCCACCAAGTACTGGAACAACAAATGGACCCTGAAAGAAATCAGAGGTAACACTAACCCCTTATCTTTCACGTTAATGGAAAATCTGGAAAAGCATTTTATGCTTTTTCATTCATTTAGAAAGTAACTTCCTTGCCGACTCAGTTAAGGATGTTTTACAATAACCATAGCTAGCATGCCAAATGACTATGCTGGATGTAGGCAACGAGAGTTGTAGTTTGACATGACGTTAAGCCGCATGTTGGAAAGTGGATTAAATAGTGTAAGTTCTACCCTAGATATCTGGCTAAAGCATTTGAGGGTGCTATGTGCCTGCATAACATTTCCCTTTCCTCTCCTGACACAGTGAAGAAGCCTAGGAACATACAGAACCTAAACAAATGCAAAATATAATGTGCTGTTTTGCTTAACCTGCAGTCTTCTCTTCTCATCTGCCCCAGGTAAAAACATACCATGGACTGCCCTATCTACATCTGGAGAAAGATCTTGAGAATTGCAGATAAGGACACATTGCCTTAATATTACCATTTCTAGGGTGAATAATAAAGTCAGACCTACAGCACTCCTGTTAATAATCTGAGGATGACTGGAGCCAAAAGGGGGGCTGTGATTGGCAGAGGTAATGACTCTGGAGCAATAGTCCACCCTGTCATCTAGCAAACATGGGTTTTGTGGAATGGATGCTAATTTTGCATGCAATTATCTTTACGTAGTCCTCGACTTACAACAGTTCATTTACTGACTGTTCAAAGTTGTATATGTATGTATATATATATATATGACAGTGCTCTCATGTTCAAGTCTTCAGTAGCAATAAGAAAAACAGAAGAACTTTCCTGGTGGATGTACCTCTAAGAAGTTTACTAACAAAAAATGAAGACTATTTCCCCTTCCAGTTAGTTCTTCATTCAATATTTGGTATGCTACCGAATTTTCTTCCAATGAAACTTATTCTCAATCTTATTAGGCATTCCTCCATTCTTACTCCTTCCAATTCAGCTAATGCTTTGCATTCACAGCAATTTTTATGTGTACAATATTTTTTAGTCTATCCCTTCTTGATGTACCTGTTACACATAATGTTTTCAATTCATATTTCTATAATTGCTTCCTACAGCTGGGATAATTTTCCTTTCATTCTTTCTAGTATCAGTTTTGACACCCAACCCTTGTTTGCCAAGCTGGATTTGCTCTGGAAGAGCTCAATAGGAGCACTTCAAACTTCTCAGCATTCAAACAATGCAGAAGACTGATGAGTAATCGTATCGATGCTGGTTCTCTCTTGGTGCCACAGAATGAGAAACTGGCTTAAAAGATATTAGGGAAATGAATGAATAGGCAAAACTTATGATGAATTGGAGCCTGTCTTCATTGAGCTCACTGTCTGTAAAGAAGAGCCAGGCATTAATACTTTTAAAAGCAGTGTAAAAAAAAGGGCAGATACACCAAAGACTGAGCAAAGCGTGCTGGCTCAAATTCTCCCATCTTTGCATAATTATTTAAGGGGACAGCAGAACCTGCTCAGGCTAAGCTGTTGCTGTCTTAATTTTAAGGTTTTAAAAAAAGGCAGATGACAGAGACTGAAATTTAGTTATTTCCAGTGACCTATATTTTCCTCTTAGAAGACAAATAAGCCAGGAGGCGAGGAATTTTTTTTTTTTTAATTTGATTTATATGCCGCCCTTCTCCGGAGACTCAGAGCGGCTTACAATGCGTTAAGCAATAGCCTTCATACTTTTGTATATTTATACAAAGTCAGCTTATTGCCCCCACAAACTGGGTCCTCATTTAACCTACCTTAGAAAGGATGGAAGGCTGAATCAACCTTGAGCCTGGTAAGATTCGAACCTGCAGAAATTGCAGGCAGCTGTGTTAATTACAGGGTGCATTAAACCACTGTACTACCAAGGCTCTGTGACTGAGTGAAAGAAAATAGCAAAGGAGGATGCCAAAGAACACTCTTATCAGTATCCAGATTCAGGCTCACGCCTGGCCTAAAGACAATTCATTTATTTATTACATTTACATACCCCTTGAGACCACACTCCAAATCTCTATGAATGATTCCCCTCTTGTTGCAGTGAAAATAGAGAAAATGGGAGTCAGAGAAAAATCATTCATGGGCAAGTGCCTATAATCCCGGGGGAGAGCCAGCCTGGAAGCTAGTGTGGATCATATCACTCTGCTGAACAGACTATCACTTCTCCAGGGGTGTGCTCCTAGGTCTGCCTTCCAGAGATGAGAAAAGGAAAACTCAAGAAAAGGAAAAAAATGTAAACAGGTTAACAGTCGATGGGCACTGAACCAGTGAGTTTAGTATGCAGCTGAATGAATGACTGTTGCTAATAGCAAAAAGCGGCCTTTCTCTTAACATCAAGAAGCTGAATATTGGCCAGCTTTAGTACATTTAAGGATTATCAGCAACAAAAAGAAAGTTCACATCAAAGGAGCTCTAAGATGGTAATCTTATGGCCTGGCAGAGACCACTTCACCTCTAGTTGCTAGACTCCAATAGAAGCTCTTTAAATAATTATAGCTGGCCCTGGAATAAGAGCTACAGAGAAGAGGCTGTTCTTTGTAGAAAGGAAAAGAAGGAATAATGTTTAGAAGGTGAATGAGTGTAACCATGTTGTGTGCAGGTGGGTTTCTCTTTCATTCATCTGGAACGACTGCAGCGAGGAACAAGCAATGCTGGGACGTTCCAATGGGGAACAAATAGATTCAAGGGCACATGCCAAGAGTTCTTGTTGCTTTAATTTAGTGAAGAGGGACAGAACTGTGAGGCTTTGTTCTCAATAGGCAGGATCATTCTGCTGGCATAATGCTGTCAATCAAGGGGGAAAACAGGATTCGATCCCTTACCATCCATTCTCTGGATGCCACCCTGTTCCTGGGGAAGGAATCATTTCCAGGTTTCAGAAGCCCTTCCTAGGAGGGTATATTTTAGGAATTCAGTTGTTCCATGCATTTCCCAAAGCACAGGGCAGTGAATTGGGCGTAGCTGGCTGCACCCCATAGACAACTAGTTGAGAATGGAAATGCTGGACTAAAATGGGCCTCGGTCTGATGCAGCAGGGCTACTTTTATATTCTTACCTTCAGGTGCTGGCTGCCCAGGTGCCATCTTTGCCCAATCTTCATTGTTCCCCTTTGGGGAAGCCACATTTCAAGTGCAATAGAGACCTGAAGTTGCAGCCCTTCAGTGGGAAGGAAGATGGGGGGTGGGGGCAGGGTTTCAGGGAGAGACCAGGAGGTTCAAGGAAGGAGAGGGACCTTGCTTGGGTCTCTAAGGGCTAGATGGAGCAACTAGGAAGGGTTTATCCCATGGACTGGAAGATCTCCATTCCTGCTGTAGATAATTGTCCAAGATGCTGAATCTGTAAGGGATATTACCTATTGAGTTTTGCAATATTCCCATCTCCTGTAATTGCTCTAGCCTGTGCTAGACAGAAATCCTATGCCATGGGAAGGCTACATTAGATATGACATAGTTATATGACAATATTTCTGGCTCTCTTTCTCCCTTTATTAAAAAACTGATGCAGTTGGAGTGGCCATCCAAATGTCAAGCCTTCGGGTAGAATTACTGTACCTTCAGATGTCGTTAAACTACAACCCCCAGCAGCTGATGCATGGCCAATAAGGAATGGTGGCCTCTATAACAAGGCATGAAGAAGTCAAAACGATGACACTGATTATGAAATCATCATGAAAACGGCATGTTTATGTAATGACGTCATGATGTCTGAGACAAGTATATTCCCCTCAATATTCTTGCTCCTTCATGGATGCCCAGTAGGAGAGCTCAGAATTATAGTTTAATAACAACCGCTTAAAAGATATAAATTTTGCTGAGTAATCAATGCTTTTCTCAAATAATTCAGGTTAGATTGACTGGCTTCTCAAAACTGAGTTTTTGTACTATAAAAAAAGAAGCCAAGTCTTGGCCATCATGATCAAGAATAATCACTTCTCCAGTTTCCTAAAGCTCACTCTCCCTACTCTTTATCCTTTTCTTGCCATTTCTTCCAAACCACTCCCTCAACATCTTAGTGACAGAGAGATTACCATATTTTTCGGACTATAACACTCTCTGGACTATAAGATGCACATTAGCTTTAGAGAAGGAAAACAAGAAAAAAAAATCTGCCTCTGCCATCTGTTCGCTGCCACTGTGGCCTGTTTGCCGCGGCCCATTCACCATGGCCCGTTTGCTGTGAATGGGTGGCAGCGGCAGCGATAAGTGGCGATTTCCGCCATCTAGAACAGTTCATCGGAACCGCACAGCTCCCCCTCCCACTGCAATATTCTCTCTATAAGATGCACAGACATTTCCACCCACTTTTTTTTGGGGGGGGGAGTGCATCTTATAGTCTGAAAAATATGGTAATTGGAAAATGGCAGGAAAGTGACCCACCTTATCACGGATTTGCTGCCGAACCTTTTCCCGTTCAGCCTCCATGCGGGCATGCTTTGCCTTGCGCTCTTCCTCTTGCTGGCGTAAGGCTTCTTGTCGTTCTTCTTCCTTCTTCTGGGCATCAGGGTCTTTTTCCTCTTCTCCTCCCAACATTTTACCCATGTCCTTCGTGGCCCCTGCACATGGCATGGTTGAAAACATAGTAAGAGGGACTTCTGTGGGAAATCCTGTTTCTTTTCAGTATTTCCCAACAGGCTGGTGTTATCCACTTCTACTATTAAGGAGAAAAATAAGGAGAGGGTGGATTGACTGATGAAGTTTCTTCAGTCAGGCAAAATAACTGTGAGCTTCTCCATCAACCTTATAAAAAAAAACAAACTGAAACCTGCTAGACATTATTATAATGTCTACCAGGACCAGTGATTTGCATTTTCTTTTCTAGATGGAAACCTAGCTGGGTGTTTTAGGCCTGAAGGAGAGTGACTTTGGGCCAGTCACTTTCTCTCAGCTGAACAGACCTCACATGTTGTTGTATTAGATATGCACGCTGCCTTCAGTTATTTATAACAATAACAAATAAGACTTTCTCCAAGGCAGAATCTCAGAACCAATAATCTCCTTTCTGGTTGTGAGAAGTCAGTATGTGAGACAATTAGCAAATTTCCTTGCGGATCTCTAGGGGGAGCTCAGATGTCACTAGACATCTGAATAAGAACACTGTATTTTTCAAAAGGGCCTTTCCCTCCTCCCCCTCTCTCTCTCATATTTGTCTTGGTTTTCCCATTATGACAACACTGTCTAAGCTTGAATACAATATTATATAAGCAATATACCTTTGTGCTTAGGAATAGCCATGATTGTGCTATTGTGAGCAAATGCCTGGACAGTTCCATCTTTTTAAATAAAATAAAATAAAAAGAGAAAACTTCTATATTAGCAATAAGTAAAGTCCAAGAACTAATCAGACAGCATAGTTAAGGAATTGGACTCGGACTCAGAAATCCAGGTTCTAATTCTTTTTTGACTTTGGAGCTCATGCAATAAAATTGAGCCAGTCCTTTCTCTCAAAGCCACTACTTTACAGACTTTTTATGGTGAAGATACAATAAAAGGGGATCTCCCTTGATCTCTCAGAAGCTCAAAAGCAGAGATGAATAACTTGTGGCCAAGTCCTCTTATATATATATATATATATATATATATATATATATATGTATGTATGTATGTATGTATGTATGTATGTATGTATATGTATATGTATATGTATATGTATATGTATATGTAATGTATATGTATATATATATATGCCTTGAAACTCTCTCCAATCACATCTATGGATATTCATAGAAGTAGATGTCAGCTGAGAACTTAATAAGGTTGGTTTTTTGGGGCCTTCTCTGTTGTAAACTGTATGTTTCAGCCATGGGAATGAGTTACTTTTAGTTCCAGCTGTGCAAGGGATCTACAAATTTGATAAATACTATGAGTATGGGAGGGCCTGCCTTATCTAAAGAACAGAATTCCAGATATTCATAATAAAAGTCTGAGCTTCATAAGATAGGTTGTAGAAGTGTATCACTGCTTGAAAAAAGATTTTTGAAGAGCTTGGAAAAACAACTATTGATACCCATCAGACTGAAAAAGTTTACAAAACTATTCCCAAAGTGTTTGTCCCCACTGTCAGGCAATTCATCACCATTGTTACCATCCCTAGGAGTGGATGACCAACTAAGATCACAACAAGAGCATGGCATATAATATTTCAGGACATGTCAAAAATACCCCAGGGTAATGTCTAGGGAATGAATTGAATTGACAAATGTCAGTGTTTGTGATACCATTATCAGGAGAACACTTAGCAATAAAGGTGTATTGCATGGCAGATTGAAGAATGCCACTGCTCTTCAAAAATAACATTCCTTCCGATCTACAGTTTCTGAAAATCCATGTGGATAAGCCAGAAGACAATTGGAAGAATGTTCTGAGGACAGACAAGATCAAAATAAGAATCTTTTGGCCTGAATGAAAAACATCTTGTTCGGTGAAAGCAAACACTGCATTACAGCATAAGAGTCTCTTCCCATCTGTGGAACATGATGGTGGCAGTATCATGATTTGGGCCTATAGACCCAAATTTTCTGCCTCTGGACCAGGGCTTGCCATTATTGATGGGACTTTGAATTCTGAATTGTATCAGCAACTTTTACAGGAAAATGTCAGGGTATCTGGCCTTCAACTGAGGCTCAAAAAAAGTGGGTAATGCAGCAATGACCCAAAAGCCAAAACACACAAGTTGTACCGCCAAAGATTGGTAAAAGCAGAAGAAAGGAATGGCCAAGTCAAAGTCCTGATCTACAGAAAAAAGGAAGGACCAGAAGTAGACTGTCATGCAAGGAAGCCCACCAACATGCCTGATTTGAAGCTGTCTGCTTCCACCAGAAATTCAGTCTTAAGTGCTTAGAAAAGTAGAACTAAGAGAATATTGTGAAGAGATATGACTTACCCCCTAAGGCTTGTTTCATCACAAAATCCATTACTGCTGGCCACGTTAGTGCGCTCTAGGAAGTTGTTGAATTCTCATCCAGTGCTGCTGATAGAAAGCTTGGAGTCAAGGGCTATCTGGAAGGGAAATGAAATCAAATGAGCAGGATGAAGAGAAAAAAAATCAGTGACTGTTGAACTAAGCTCTGACCAGTGAGTCATCCATTCCTCTAGAAGCCCAGGTCCAATGCAAGGAACTTAATATAATGAATAGCAATGCAAGAATAACTGAGCTGTTAAGAGGCACAATTGTACCAGACTTTAGGCGTGTTTAAACATATAATGGTGTGATATCCATCCTTTCTACAGAAATGAACATAGCTTCAATATTTTTTTTAAACTCAAAACAACAATCAATTAAATTTATGGATGTCTCCATCGTTCTTTGGAGCCTGTAGCTTTTCTGGCACCAATGATAATGTTTAGATAATGAAAACAACAGAACTGTAAAACTGAAAATTGTGTACAAGCATAAAACTTCAACCATGGAACTACAATGAACTACACACTCTTTAAAACTCTGCCTCTTGAATCTTTTTTAGAGAGAAAGATGTTTACTGCAAAATATTTTAAAGAATAAATGTAGCAAATAAGCAATGCACACTCACATGTCTGAGTTCTGTAATAAAAATGCATTAAAATTGCCTCTAAGTGCTGTTCAGCTAAACTTGAATTTAAAATATCCCATCTTTTAAAATTTGACAACTGTCCATTAAGAACAGAGGCAGCTTATCCATTACGAAATTGCACTATGTGGATTATGCTGACACTTCACAAGCACCATGTAGGAGCTACCATGGCTCAAACGAAGTTAGCATTGTTGAAAAAAATTCATGCCATGAATAATTTGTTACTGTTTAAGCCCCATAGATGAAAATCAAAACTAATAATTGTTTTTGCTGCAAGAAGCAAATATAGCCAACTTTCTAGAATGCATTTATTTCAGCAACTGATGTTTTAATATTAAATTGAGCTGACCACTGATAAAAATTATTTTTTAATGATTTTGATAAAAAGTATTGCAAACCTTCTTGTTTTGTAAGTTGACTTCTACCTATGTCTCTAGTTTATGACTGGCCCATATCTAATATTGGCCGGTAATATGGTTGCTAGAATATTAGATCTCAGGGTGTGATGAAGGAGATTCAGTCTTGAAAACACTTGATACCCTGCAAATTATACATAGACTTTATAAAGAATTTATGAGTGCCATTGTATTTCCTTATTAGGCATTTTCCACCTCTTGATATCAAATAATCCCTGATTATTTGTATATTCCAATTTTCATCATTTCCCCGAGTCTGAAAATTAAAGCAGTCTCAACTACAAAGAACAGGTTTACACTGCTCCATTTAAATGCCATAAATGCCTTTTCTACTGATTACTTTCTTCAGGAAAGAGCCAAGGGAGCATTTATTAGGTACCATCTCCAGAGAATGAAATACATGCTCCAGAGTATGTGTATTCAGAATGAAATCCTACCCTATTTATTGGAACTCAATCCTAAGTAAGTTCGTGTTAGTTTGAATTATGAAAGAAGGCTTTACTCTCAAGAGGGCTTAAAACATAATTCTGGATATAAAACTGGAACGTTCATAAAGACAAATACATACACATATAAAAGTAGTTCTCATTGTTATTGATTATAATTCTAACCTGTCTTCCCCCCCCTCCCCGAGTCCGATTGCAACAGTGATCTGGGTGGCTGGATCATTTTCAACTACCTAAAGTTGACTTTAGTAAAGTAAATGCAAGTCCTTTTTCCATACTCTTTTTTTTTTTTTTTGGCCTTTCTCCAGAGATAATTTGCCAGGGATCAGCTGATTCTAGGAACAGATCTTTGAAGAGCTAGATGTGAAGACTAGATGTGAGCCAGGCTCCATCCTACAAAAATGGTCATGAGCAAAGCTTAGATGATTTGAAGGAAGAGGGAGGTATATTCACACACCCCTGCCTCAGTTTTTGTTTCAGGTAGAGTCTTTGTGTGCCATTTTCTTAGTTTTGAATTAGGAGGACATTGAACAGAGTGTTGCCCTACAATCATAGAAACAATAGGGGCATAGTTTTGAAGGCTTGATCTTAAGATACTTCGGGTACTTTATTTATTACACCATAGAAAAGAGCCATATTATAAGGCAATATGAATCCCACTGACCTTAGTGGAATTTACTACTGAGCAGAGAGAACTGTAAAATGGGGTTAAATGACTTTGTTGTTATATGCTGCCCATATGATTCAGTATTTGGTTATGCAGTACTGTAGCAATGCTATTATGGAATGAGCAATCCAGAAGAACACAGAATGGCAGAATAGCAATAGCACTAAGACTTATATACCACTTCAGAGTGCTTTACAGCCCTCTCTAAGTGGTTTACAAAGTCATAATGCCCCCAACAATCTGGGTCCTCATTTTACCAACCTCGGAAACATGGAAGGCTGAGTCAACCTTGAGCCGGTGAGAATCGAACTGCTGAACTGCTGGCAGTCAGCAGAATTAGCAAAATAATTACATGGATAATAACAATGTGCATGCCATTCAGTTCTTCAAGGTGTATTTCAATTGTGTCCCCCCTCCATCCCCCCAAAAAAAATCTGTTTGAAGCAACTAGAAGTAAAAAGGAGACAAAAGAAAATTTAGATTTTATCAGCCTCTTTTGCCATATAATTATACTGTTCACTGGTGCTCTCTTTATCATTTGGAATGTTTATATCACTCCAACATTTACAAACTTCCATTTGTAAAAATGTGGCCTGATTCTTTTTTGGGGGGGGAACCCAACAACACCTGATGTAGAGAGCTTAATCTGACTCATTTGCTCTAATCTTGAAATGTGGGTAGCTATTTATCTCTAGGAAGCTGTGCCGACAACTCACTTAGACCTGTAATTGCTGTGGTGAGCTAAGGTGAGGAATCCATATCTCTCTATGCTAGTTTCTCAAATGGAAAATATGAACTGATTTCTTAAGATCACGCTGAGAGTGATGTGTGTGCATGTGTGCATTTTCCATCCCCTCTGCTGTTGACTTTCAGGAAGCCTCCCCACAAAATTGATCCTGTCCTGTCTACCATAGATTATCTACTGCTGTTTCTTAGTAATTAAGATCATTTTGGAAGGCAGAGAACACTGCAGCGGTCCAGGTCACAGGAGATAATGGCTTGTTAGCAGTGTGGCGTATTCTGTGTTACACTTAACATCAATGCTCTATTCTCTACAGTGCTTTTAAGCCCATCACAAAAGCAGTATTTGTAGTTCCGGGCTATCTCTCTTTGATGCAATGCTTTGGTACAGAGCAAAGTGCTCAGAGCTCAGTCCAAAGAAGAGGAAACTCATCTGAGCCAGTTGCAGCAACATTCGGCAGAAAAGTGTCCCACGTACTCTGTTGACTTGAAGGAGACGTAGGATTATTAAGCTACAGTCTGCAAGGACTGTATTCTGGAGGGATAGTCTCATTAACAGAAATTGACTTTCTTTAGATTAAGCAACGACAACTGCAACTTAATTTTTTTAGAATCATGTAGAAAGAAGGAATTACCTTCATAATGGAATTCCAATAGGATGTAAGAGAAAATCTGAAATAGTTTCTTCCACTATGAGTACATACTATCTGTGGGATAGTCCATATCTTAATAAATGAGGCTCGGAAAATGAGGTCCGTAAAATAATTCCCATTGAGTAATAGGCAAGATAAATCCTAGCAATAATAATAAGCCAGGGAATAATAACTGTTGGAGACAGAAAGGGCCTATGAGCTCATTTGTTGCAACTGCCCACTAATGGCAAATAAAACTGGCTAATATATTCTGAGCCTACAGACCATCTGGCTGAATGCAACTTTCTTTTCACCAATCAGCAGCATTTGTATTTTGTGTTTTTCAGATTGTGGGAGAGAGACAAATTAATTATAAACTGATCAATAATGCACCTCAGAAATAAAAAACAAGAGACGTGGAAGGTGACTCTTTTGATTCGTTTAATTTGTGTCTGATCAAAATGTGAGATTTTGAGTCACAGCAATCTTTTCTGTGTTCAGAATATTCAGACTCAAATATTCAAAATTCTCATTTGAGAACTGCATAATACTTTGACTTAGTTCAGGGAAACAGGATCAACTAATTGACATATTTGATTAGAAACCTTCTTGCTTTGATACAGAAAGAAGACTGGACTTCTTTATATGGATAGTCCTTGAATTACGACCACAATTGAGCCCCAAATTTATGTTGCTAAGTGAAACATTTGTTAAGTGAGTTTGTCCTTTACGACTTTTCTTGCCACCGTTGTTAAATGAATCATTGCATTTGTTAAGTAAGTAACATGGTTGATAACTGAATCAGGTTTCCCCATTGATTTTTGCTTGTCAGGAGGTCGCAAAAGGTGATTAACTGATCCTGGGACACTGCAACCATCATTAATATGAGCCAGTTGCCAAGCATCTGAATTTTGAACATCTGACCATGGGAATGTTGCAATGGTTGTAAGGGTGAAAAACTGTCGTAAGTCACTTTTTTTAGTGCTGTTGTAACTTTGAACGGTCACTAAATAATCTGATGTAAATCAAGGACTGCTTGTAAACAAAAAATAAAAAAGAAGGTAAGCATTATATATAGCAGTGATGGCGAACCTTTTAGGCACCGAGTGCCCAACTGTGCATGTGCTCATGCGCAAACTGAAAGGTGTGTGTGTGAACGCACACATGTGCGGACATGCGAGTGTGCATGTGCGGACATGCATAAATGTGTGCATGCGTGGACATGCAAAGCAGAGACCCGAAGACCAGCTGGCCGGCGGGAGGCGGGGCATCCCAACACCGGCAGCATGGCAAGAGGTAAGATCTTTTTCTTTTGTGAGCTTCTGTTTCGTCATTTGCAGGGAAACAGAAGCTCACAAAAGAAATGCCATGGAGATCTGACCTGGGGCGACAGCCCAAGTGCCAGCAGAGAGGGCTCTGCGTGCCACTTCTGGCACTAGTGCCATAGGTTCGCCATCACGGATATATAGAAACAACACTGCAGCACAGAAATATAAAGAAACTAGTTATAGAAGTAGTCCTTGACTTACAGCTGTTCGTTTAGTGAC